TTATATAAATAAGTATATATATAAAATACCTAGGAATAAACTTAAGAATTATGCAGAAACTATATGAAGAAAACTAAAACTCTATGAAGGGACTTAAATAAGTGGAAAAACATACTTTGTTTTTGGATAAACATACTTTGTTTCTGTTTTTGGAAAAGTTCAGTATTCAGATTTAATTCTTCCTTATTCTATAAGTAATATGGTTACTGTAAAAATACCAAAAATATATATTTTTTCAGGAGCTCTGGTAGCGTAGTGCCCAAAGGCACTTCACTGCTAACCAGTAGGCTGGCGGTTCAAACCCACCAGCCACTCCTCGGAAGGAAGATGGGGCAATCTACTTCTGTACTTATACTGCCTCGGAAACCCAAGGTGGGGTCGCTGTGAGTCGGGTCCGACTCGACGGCACATAACAACAACAACAACAACATATATTTTTAATTCTTATTATAAATAGGATCTTTCCTGCCTTATATGCTATGTTTTTATATAAGAAAGCTGTTAATTCTTACATAATCAATTTTGTAACTGGCCATGTAATTAAAATTATTTCTAATAGCTTTTATTTGATTTTTTAAATTTCCAGGTAAAAATGTTTCTTTCTTCTTTTTAAATATTATGCCCTTTGTCTCAGTTATCTAGTGCTGCTATGACAGAACCACCACAAGTAGATGGCTTTAACAAACAACTTTATTCTCTCTCAGTTTAGGCTAGAAGTTCAAATTCAGAGTGCCAGCTCTAGGGGAAGACTTTCTCTGTCAGGAAGAAAGGCTTACTCTGTCTGGAGGAAAGTCCTTGTCTCCTTTCAGCATTGGTGGGTTCCTTAGAGAGTTGTAAGTGTTTTGGTATCAATCTTCCCCTAAGTCTAGAAGGATCTCAGCACAGGGGCCCTGAGTCCAAAGGACATTCCAGTCACAGCTCTTCTTTCTTGGCAGTAGTTAGGTTCCTCTGATCTCTCTGCTCACTTCTCTCTCCTTTTATCTCTTATTAAGATAAAAAGGTAATGCAGGCTATCTCCCAGGGAAACTTTCCCTAAATCAGGTAAGAGCATGTTACATCCCACTGTAATCCCCTTACGACTGATTGATCACATCAGATCACATTATGGGGGATGATTACATCATTACATAACAGCCAACTCACATCATTACATAAATGCCAAACCACTGAGAATCATGGCCCAGCCAAGTTGACATATTTTGGGGGATATAATTTAATCCATGATGTCTCTCATTTATTTCTCTTACCCAATTGCACTGGATAGTATTTATAGAACAATGCTAAATTACAGTGGCATGATAGCAAGCATCCTTATTTTATTCTTTAATGGGAAAGCTTTTAGTGTTTAAATATTTTAATTTAAAACAATGCTTACATAAGTAATTACCTATTTCTTTCTAATTAAGAGTTTAAAAATCTTAGAACATCAACCATGGGAGATAAGAAGGGCAACATTTGTACAGGGAGAAATGTAGGGAGGCACGAAGGCATAGGCAAGGACACAGGGAAAGGGCAACCACAGGGACGAAGTGGGAGGTGAAATGTTACACTGCAGGGAACATAACCAGTGTCACAACACAAACTGTGCATACAAACTATTGAATATAAAATGAATCTGCTTTGTAAAATTTTACCCAAATTAAAAAAAAAAAGTCTAGAATAGTTGATAAATTTTATCAAACATCTTTTATTAAACGATTTTTCTATTAAAAAAAAAAATCACATGGAAATATCTATGACTGGTAACAAAGTTAAAACATCAGCCTTGTCCAATAGAGCCTGGTGGAACCACTGAGACTATGGCCCCTAGCTGCCCTTCAGGTCTGGAATTGAGCCCACACCTGTGGTTTCCTGCCAAATAAAAGACAGGCATATGAGTTGAACAGTTACCTGAAACAGATATACTCCTTAGAGAGAACAATCATGGGAGAAAGAAGGGCTGCTTATGCACAGGGAGACAGCTCAGGGGGCAGGAATGCAGGGAGGGATGGACACAGAGAAGAGGTAACTATCGGGAGGAAGTGGGAAGGGAGCTGTTGCATTGTGGTAAATTGTGGTCAATGTCATGAGACAAAGTGTATGTGAACTGCTGTATGGAAAGTGAATTTGCTCTGTAAATTTTCACCCAAATCACAATAAAAAAAAAAAATCAGCCTTATACTTAGCTTTGAAATCTGATAAACTTCTTGCCTCTCCAGAATAGGATCCTGTTAGTATTTCATCCTATTATACTATCCTTTAGCCACATACACTTTTCCTTATCCTCTTACCATTAACCAAATAGAAACAATACTATCCTTGTTGTATCATGAGTATATGAGATAGACTTTCATCATTTTGCATACTTTCTCATTTTAAATAATCTATGCTTTTGTTAAAATTATTTGGCTCTTTTTACTAAAACTCATTCAGGGTTTTTATTCTTTTAAGCTCTAATGAGGTTAAAAATATCTGAAATATCCTATCAAAATAATTACAAAAACATGCTATAGACTAGACGATGCCATGTATGTAGGTAGGTTTCATAGAAACAAGACCTTTAATTAATAAAGGAGTATTTACAAACTATAATGATATGGGGAAGTATTATAGAACAGTGTTTAAGCAACTCGGATCAGAACCAGAATTATTAAGTTAGAATATTAGCAATACAATTTGTTAGCTATGAGACCTTGCATGCATTGCTTAATCACTCTATGAGTCATTATTAAAATGGTGATAATAGCATAGTGCCTAAGGCACTTGACGGCTAACCAGAAGGCTGGTGGTTCAAACTCACCAGCCATTCTCGGAAGGAAGATGGGGCAATCTACTTCTGTAGTGATACTGCCTCAGAAATCCAAGGAGGGGTCGCTATGAGTCAGGTCTGACTCGACGGCACATAACAACAACAACAATAATAGCACCTATCTCACAGAATTGGTGGGAGTATTACATGACATAATTCATGTGCAGAACTCAAAACAATGCTTGGCACATTTTGAGTATTCAATAAATGTTAGCTGTTACTGGCCATTATTATGGGAGTAATCATGAGACTCTTTTATACTACAAAGAAGTTCACAAATTATCTTTTAAGAAAGAACGTAAAAATTCTCAAACTTAAAAATGAATTACAAATTTTTATTTCAAAACATAAAAATTCCAAACTTGCTGGCCCATTCTGGGATATTTTATAGACTCAGGTCTTTGAGAATAATACTTCATTAATATTCCCTGCTTAATTAAAGGTTATTCTGATCACACTGGCCATGAATACTAACACAAAAAAATTAATCAGAACTTAAAAACAGTATAAAGCGAACCAAATTATTACCATCGAGTCAATTCGGACTCATAGCATCCTTCACTGGGTTTCCACGGCTGTAAATCTTTACAGAAGCAGACTGTCTCATCTTTCTTCCAGAGCAGCGAATGGGTTTGAATGCTTGACCTTTTGGTTAACAGCCAAATATCATAACCACTATACCACCAGGGCTCCTTAAAAACAGTGTGGAAAGAAGAAAAAGAACCAAATTCACTGCCATCAAGTCGATTCTGACTCATAGCAACCACCAATGGGTTTCCAAGTCTGTAAACCTTTACAGAAGAAGACTGCCCCATCTTCTTCTACTGAGTGGCTGGTAAGTTCATACCACCAACCTTTTTGGTTAGAAGCCAAACGTCTTAACCACTGTATCATGAAAATGCCTTGAGAAACAGTATACTTACCCTCAAATCAGGAGAAAAATTGTCTGCAGAAGTTGAAATGGAATCCGATGATATGACAGAAGCTGATTTTGTATGCACTGAATTCTCTGAATGAGAAGTGGAGGCACTACAAAATATAAAAGCACAGTACGTTTGAAACACGGGGGTTTTAATGACAAATTTTAGAAATTGTGTTTAGTAGAAATTCATTATTTATTAAAACTCCCATTTGTCAACTAGCCTTACTTTGCATATCGTCTCTCTGCAAATTCTCTATTCCTGTAGGGTTTAGCATCCCTTCCATCCATATTTCCTCTCAACAGACCTCTCCAGCACTCATGAACATATTCTAAGCTAGTTCCTTCCCTTTGTCCATCCATCCATTCATTCATCCATACATTCATTCACCCAGTAAACATTCACTGAGCAGTTCAATGTACAAAACACTGCAGGAGGGTAACTCGGTTTAGATAAATATTACATAGTCCTAATGTTCATGACAATGTTCTGCTGTTCAGGATAATGTTCATGATATTGGACAAATCTGTTGCAAAAGACTTCTTTAATGTGTTTAAAAGCAAAGGTGTCACTCTGAAGACTAAAGTGCACCTGACCCAAGCCATGGTATTTCTAATTGCCTCAAATGCATGTGAAAGCTGGACAATGAATAAACCAAACCAAACTCACTGCCGTCGAGTCAGATCCAACTCATAGCGACCCCTCCTTGGGTTTCCAAGGTGGTATCACTATGGAAGCAGATTGCCCAACCTTCCTTCCAAGGAGTGGCTGGTGGGTTTGAACCGACAGCCTTCTAGTTAGCAGTTAAATGCCTTAGGCACTATGCCACCAAAGCAACGAATAAGAAAGACCAAAAAAGAATTGATGCCTTTGAATTATGGCATTGGTAAAGAATGTTAAATACACCATGGGGTGCCAGAAGAACAAACAAATCTGCTCCTTAGAAGACTTTGTCTCACCTACTTTGGATCTACCATCAGGATGGACCAGTCCCTGGAGAAGGACATCATGCTTGGTAAAGGAGAGGGTCAGCAAAGAGGAGGAAGACCGTCCATGAGATGGATTGACACAATGGCCACCACGACTCAAACATAGCAGTGAGTGTGAGGGTGGTGCAGGACTGGGTAGGGTTTCGTTATGTTGTACACAGGGTTGCTATGAGTCAGAACCAAATTGACAGCACCAAACAACAACAAAAGTTCATGAAGATAATAAGAGTGTAGCAAAGCAGAAAACGAGCAATCTTAAACTTCTCAGTCTAATCTCCATGTGCAACAAATCCCAGCTTTGCTTCTAATGGCTTTTATGATTCGGGCAACTCAGCTTCTGGAAGCCACCATTTACTTGTCTGAAAAATGGAGCTGAAAACAGATGGTCATGAGGATCACATGAATTCATGTACATGAGATAGTTTTGAAAATTTGATGTTTTGCAAATGTTGTTTTGGGTTTATATTGTAAAAATATTTTTAAATAACCTTTACGCTTTTAGGAAAATTTTAGGTTTATAAAAAATTGTGCAGAAAATATAGGGAATTGACATATACCTTATCTCCCTCTGCATACTGCTTCTTTTCTTATTAATAGCTTCTTTCATGTGGTATATTTGTTACAATTGATGTACCAATATTCATACAGAATTTTTGAATAAGGTCCATAGTTGATATTAGCAACCACTCATTGTGTTACATAGTCCTATGGCTTTTGACAAATGCATAATGTCATTTACAATATCTAACAGGACAGATTTGTCCTAAAAATGCCCTGTGTTCTATCTATTCATCACTCTCCCCTTCCCCTGAACTCTAAGCAACTACCAATCTTTCAACTGTCTCTATAGTTTTGCTTTTCTGAATGTCATATAGTTGGTATCATACTGTATGTAGCTATTGTAGACTGGTTTCTTTCACTTAATAATATGCATTTAAGGTTCCTCCATGTTTTATTACTGAGTAATAATCCATTGTATGGATACACCACCGTTTCTTATCTATTCACCTATTAAAGATCATCTTGGTTGCTTCAAAAACAAAAGAGAATAGCAAAGACAGGCAAGTAAATAAATGGCATAATGTGATAAAGATACTAAAAGAAAGAATATGTAAGATGCCATAAGCAAGAAGAAAAGGAAGTGCCTAACTCTTCCTGGGAAGGTCAGGGAAGACTTCACAGAAGAGATTATGCTTGAACTGAGTCTTTTAAGCCCTTAAAAGAAAAGCAGCAAATTGCCAGGCTAAAAAACAAGTAAGAGAATTAAAAAAAAAAAAAGCTAAAGTATGGAAGCATAAAAGAACACGGAACATTTTAAAAAGTTCAATAGGGTTTGATGAGCAGACCAGAAAATAAGGACAGAAAGATGGGTCTGTCTTTGCACCTTACTATCTTTTCACCAAATCAAATTGTACACTTTTCAAAATTCTACACTTAAATATCCACTTCTAGCAAACATGCGTATACGGGTTGATAGATGGGTGGACAGGCTGAACTATTAGGTATGTCTATGAAGTGGGGAGTGTACTCAAGATCATGGATAAGGCTGTCAGACAATGGTCTTGTAAGTTTATGTGTATGAGCAGAATTCCCAGGAGTATAGTAGAGCTGACAAGGGGCAAGGTTGTCGTCACTGCTTGGTCACAGCCAGCTACCCAGAGGGACCGAGTAGTTGAACCTGTGAGTTGAACCTGTTGGCTCGGGAGCATAGTCACAGAGGACATCAAGCTCAACTGGCATAACATACTACACAAAACATTGTTCCACCTCCTACTTTGGCAAGTAGCGACTGGGATCTCAAAAGCTTGCAAGCTGCCATCTAGATACAACAATGGGTCTCTCCTCATCCAGAGCAAAGAAGAATGAAGAAAACCAAAATTCGTGGAAACAATTAGTCCTAGCGACTGGTACACCATCCGATCTGCAACCTACACAACTATGAGACCAGAAGAACTAACTAGATGGTACCCGGCTACCACTGTCATCCACTTGGAAGGGGATCTATGTAGGAGATCCTAGATAGAATAGGAGAAAAATGTGGAACAAAATTCAAAATCATTTGGAGAAAAAAAAAGGGTGGGGGCAGGTTTGCTGGTCTGATAGAGCCTGGTGGAACCACTGAGACTATGGCCCCTAGCTGCCACTTCAGGTCTCGAACTGAACTCATACCTGTGACTTCCAGCCAAACAATAGACAGGCATATGAGTTGAACATTTACCTGAGGTAGATACACTCTGTGGAGAGAACAATCATGGGAGAAAGAAGGGCTGCTTATACACAGCGAGACAGCTCAGGGGGCAGAAGTGCATGGAGGGATGGACACAGGGAGAGGTAACTATCGGGAGGAAGTGGGAGGGGAGCTGTTGCATTGGCGTAAATTTTAGTCTGTCATGAGACAAAGTGTATGTGAACTGCAGTATGGAAAGTGAATTTGCTCTGTAGATTTTCACCCAAATCACAATTTTTAAAAAAAAATCCACTTTTACCATTATTACAGCTAAGTAACCACAATTGCATTTACAGTAATATAGTGCGCTTTGTTTACTGATATCAAGTATGTGTGTCTTATCTCACCAACTAAATAGTAAGTGTCTCAAGAACAAGGATTATCACTGTTAATTCCTTTCCTCCACAAAATCTACTTCCGTGTCTGCATATAATGTGAAAACTTGGTATGTTTGTTCAATTAAAAACATTGATAATACACCTATGCCACGAACTGAATGACTTACATCATTTCATTTTATCAGTAAAAGAAAAAAATTAATTACAGTAAGAAAAAGCAATAGTGGAAAACCTCAGACACTTAGGATTGAGGCTTACAGTTCCAGTTAAAAATACACCTTTCTAAAGTCCCAATGTCAATATATTAAAATGTTTCCTTTACACCAATAAGCAAAATTTTTCATTGAATTTTGATTAAATAATCCACCTTGAGATTGTCATAATACTTAAGAACCAAGTTTTAGTTTTAACATAAACTCATTAACTATAAACCTGACTAGACAATAGCTAAATTATTTAAATAATGTTAAAATTGTCTCTCCCAAAAAGGAATGGTCATTTCAATTAAATGGATTAAAAACAGTACTGCAGTGGGAAAACATTATAGTTTGCTTTTTGTCAAATGCAAACATCCCATTATTTTACTTTCTATTTCAAAGTTATGATTATAGTTGACTATGTTGTTGTTGTTATGTGCCGTCAAGTCGGCCCCGACTCATAGCGACCTCTCCTTGGGTTTCCGAGGCAATATCACTACGGAAGTAGGATTGCCCAACCTTCCTTCCGAGGAGTGGCTGGTGGGTTTGAACCACCAGCCTTCTGGTTAGCAGTCAAGTGCTTTAGCCGCTATGCTACCAGAGCTCCTATAGTTGACTATAGTTATCTGTTTATATCCAGAATCTGTAATATTATACAAAGAGCAGTCACAAGAAACTGTGTTATCTAGTTTTACAAATAAAGAAAAACTAATAGGCTAAGAATATTTTATTTCTTCTACTACCTCTTTTTTGGTAACCAATTTCTGATTAATTGATTGTCATCTGCATTAAAATAACAGGTAAAATAGTGAAACTTTAGCACAGTACTGTGAATAGCTACCTACTCCATGACAATTCCTCTTTCTTCCTTGACTTTGTTCAGGTCTGAGCAGTTTTTGCCAGGCCCAAGATGCCATACTTGCTTTCAGCTCTCTTTGGTAAAGAAAGCCATGTGACAGAATTTGGGTCAATGAGGTTTAAGAAGTCAGCTAATAGTTATGGAAATCTTTTATTTTCTTAATAAAGGAGAGCTGAAATGGCAGGACCTAGAATGTGAAAAGTAAAGCCTGAAAAACGCAGTACTGATCTTGTAAACATGAGCAACATGCCAGTCTGCCAAGTATGTTGTTGTTGTTGTTGTTGTTGTTGTTGTTAGGTGCCATCAAATCGGCTCCAACTCACAGCAACCCTATGTACAACAGAACAAAACACTGCCCAGTCTTGCACCATCCTCACAATCCTTGCTATACCTGAGCCCATTGTTGCAGCCACTGTGTCAATCCATCTCATTAAGGGTCTTCCCTTTTTTTGCTGATCCTCTACTTTACCAACCATGATACCCTCCAGGGAAGGTCCCG